AAAAAAAAAAAAAAAAAAAAAAAAAAGACAATTAAAACTTTATTTCTGAATAATTATTTCTCAGCCACTTTTACTTTAATATAGTAGTCCTTCCTTTCCCAACCCTCGCCTTTGCCTTTCCTCCCTCCCTCCTCTGGCATGCACCACCCTACTCTACAATTATTTTGCTTTTTTTTTTCCCCAAAGTTTATTTGAAAGAGTAAAAGTGAAGAATGAGGGAGAAACTGGCTCTGCAGAGTGAGCTTGGGCCAAGGAAAAGTAAGATTAAAAGTATATCCTGGAGGGAGAAGGGTGGGCTATGGTGAGGAAAGCCACTAGAGCAACAATTTTGTTCTAAAAATGAGCTAGCTAGTGCCAGGTATTGTGGTGCATGCCTGTAAGCGCAGCACTGAAGAGGCAGAGGCAGGAGGATCACTGTGAGTTTAAGGCCAGCTTCAACTGTATGGTAAAACCCTGTCTCAAAACAAACAAACAAGAAGTGAACTAGCCTAACCAAACTCAGAAGCCCATTGTGAACCAAACAGAATAAAATAATGCGCTCAACTCCCTCATTCTGGAATTATTTTTATAATATCGTAATATATGTGATAACTGTTCAGAAGACATGTTACAGTATAGGACTGATTGGTGATTATTTTTGACCCAACCTTTTTTAAAAAGAAAGGGAGCTGGGGATATGGCTCAGCAGCGCAGCACCTGCCTGGCAAGCACAAGGTCATGAGTTTGATTTTCGGTACCAAAAAAAAAAGGAAAAACAACATTGCTAAGTCTTCTTATTCTGTGTTTATTCTTATTCTGTGATTATTTGAGGTTTTGGTACTTTCAGGCCAGGTTCTTCTTGATTAAATTTCACCTCCTGAGATTCAGCCTATCTTTAGGAATGCTAGTTGTGTCCTTACATTGACTAGCCCTCTCTACTTCTTTTCTATCGCAAAGCTCAATATGCCTCATATCTGTTATTGATAAAAAGTATTGAATAAAAAACATGCTTTTGGGTTTTTTTTGAGCAAAATGTATTCAAAAATAAACATCAAATCTGGATATGTGGTGCACATCTATAATCCTGTAGGGGAGCGTAAGTTCAAGCCTACCCTGGGCAAGTGAGCAACTTAGGGAGACTGTCTCAAAATAAAAAATAAGAAAAGGACTGGGATTATACCTCACTGTGAAGGCCTTGGGTTCAGTCAATTTTTTCAATCAAAAAATTTTATTTTAAATCAGAAGAGATTTAGGAAATAGTAATTTCATTGATAATTTTATTTTAAAAGTTGTAATTAAGGATATGAGTCAGTGTTTCTATAATCTTTTTTTTTTTTTTCCCTTTAGGGACCCATCTGTGTCTAAGTCTATAGAACGAATCTTTAAAATCTGGGAAGACAGAAATGTATACCCAGAAGAAATGATCATGGCATTGAGAGAAGCGTTGAGTAAGTCTTTTTTCTCTCCTAAAAGAAACATTGAAGCCAGTCTTTATTTAAATATATATATAGAGAGAAAGAGAGAGACAGAGACAGGCAGACATGATCTTGTATAATAATAAGAAATAAAATTTAGATCTGTCTGTGTTTGTTTTATTTGTGTGTATTTGTTTTAAATTAAATATTTTTTATAATTAAATGTTTGAATTAAAAATTTAAATGGAATTGGTTTTGGAGGCAGAGTGTTAGGTTTTGTTTTTATTGACCAAAAAAGTCAAGCATATTAAATGATTATTTTCCTGCATTTGTTTTGTTTCAAACTGTTCATTGATTGTATTTAATAAATATGTCCTCTTACTCTTGGAGAATTTTTAGTTCTCACTTAGCTCTTTGGTGCTAAGTATATTGGTAGTCTTTAGATTCTTTTTTTTTTTTTTTTTGTCTTTAGAATCTTGATTCAGATTTGCAGTGAGTAGTATACCTGTTTTATTTTTAAGTAATTTAGTTCTTTGTATTTGATGCAATAATTATTAAGTCATTGAGTAGAATTTGGTGATAATCTGCTGCAATGACTGTCGTTTGACTAGAAATTTGCTTTTAAAATAACATCGTCTAAGAAGCTGTTCAATTCTTAATTTGAATTTAATTGGTATTTTTAAGCTTCTTTCCCTATTTTCAGGGTTGGTTATTTGATTGATTATAGAAATTATTTTACAGCTTCTTAGATCTGGTAGGTGTTTCTGTTTTTATATATATGTATATATAAATGAAAGAAAAGAAAAAAAAGAAACAACACAGTCTCGGATTGCCTTTTTTTCATGCTACAACTTTGGCACTGAAGTGGACAGACAACAGCTTCCCATAATGCCAGATTGCAAAAACTGAAATGTTTTCCAGGTACCACTTTCAAAACTCAGAAGCAGCTGAAAGAAAATCTGAACAAACAACCGAATAAGCAGTGGAAGAAATCACAAAGTAAGGAATAAAATCTCAACTAATATAAAATTACCTCCTCTTTTTGGAGCAGAAGAAAATTTAGACCTTTGACATCGTACCTGGCAATAAACCATGGGCAAGCCTGTATTTTCCAGGCCTGGGAGGCTCTCAGTGACTTACACTAAACAAACCATCATAAAGTTGTTTCTTAAAAAGCCACTATTAAACAAAGGAAATATAGCGAAAGGGTTAAATTGAGTGAAGATTCAAGAGTAGTTGGGGATTGAAAGAAGACCAAAACAAAAAAACCCTTGATAGTTTCCAGTCTAATTCTCAGGTTCAAAGATACATGAAGTTAGAGGCAGCTGGCATTAAACAACACATCTGAAGAGGAGACTAGGAATTAAGAAGCATTTCTGTGAGAGCCATGAAATCCTTCAGATTTGGGGATCCACTCCACCAAATTAGACATGGGCCTTAAACCTTGCAAGAAGCTCATTCTCTTAACTGGAGCTCCTGTTGTGTTTATCACATTTACCAGCATGAGACCAAGGGAGTGGAATACTGCATGTGATAGGTTGCTATGGGCAAACTGAAAATATTGAGAGAGTTTGAAGTGTGGAGGGAATAAAGTAAAAGACTGAGAATTGGGAGGTGAACCAAGACATTTGGGATGGTTTTGCTCCATCGAGGATGTGCCACTCATCATGGGAGTGTTAAGGGAGTCTGCTGGCATCCTTTTGGGCATAAGTTGCATGCTTAGGAACAACAGTCATCATTTCAGCCAAAGTTCAACCACAGTGGTAACTTATTTAGAACTCTTCTGGCCTATTTTTGCTGTGAATTGAGCCGGCACAAAAGAAATGCAAGGCTAAATACATGGGAAAGGAGTTGATATTTGTAAATAATTTTCTTCAGCCGGTGTTAGGGTTAATTGGATACCCCGTTCCTGAGCAGTCTTACTTTGAGGTTTTGAGATCCTCTCAATTTCAGTAAAACTAGAAAAAGAAGGTCCTTCATGTATCTCAGTATCTCCAAACCAGTAATTGTAGGACTTTATGACTTCAAGGGTCTGTTGGAGGTAAGTGGGTTAAGCCTGTCTAAATATTATATTTTTATATTGACCATACTTAGGAATATTTAAATTTTCATTGTACATTCTTTATTCTAGGAACTATGTTATGATTTAAATGTGCATGTCATATGTTCAAAGAGTACACCCTTAACTATGTAGCTAAAGTTTTTCCTGAGTTTGGTCAACTCTTTTCCTATTCTTAATCACTTCTCATTTAATTCCAGCAGCATCTGCGAATCCAAAAGCTGCTCTCAAGTCTAAAATAGTTGCTGAATTTCGAGTAAGTGACAGAATATGTTAAATATAGCAAAGCATTATTTGCCCCTTTTAAGTTACAGTTTTCTATGGAGTTCAGTAAGGTTTGTTTTTACTCAATTATGTATCAGTTGTGTTCTAAGCATACTTGAACTGCTCAAAAGGAATCCAGACTGGGTTAGGTTAGTTTTATCCCTTTCCATAATGAGAGAGATAACATCCAGAATCTGTGTTACCAGCTAAGTTCTGCTAAATTGGAATTGTCTTAGGGTAAACATAATTTAATTAGATAGACATAGAATAATGTACTTTAATTAGATGAACAAAGTGACATATGTTTAATTAAAATGTAAAGAGTACATAAGTGGGCCTTTGTTTCTATCTTGACCCTGTATTCATAAATTAACTTTGAATAATTAAGGAAGTATATAACTAAAAAAAAGTTTTGACAAGAGAATTGACTTGATATTCCTGACTGAGAAAGAATGAAAGGCTTTTTCCTCTCTGGGTTTTATTAGACTTTAGTCTTTTTTCATTAGTAGGGAGAGGTAGAAGAAGAACAACCTCACAAATGAAACTTGACTCTGATCTGTGTTCAGTCTCAGGCCCTCATTGAGGAGCTGCTGCTCTACAAGCGCTCAGAAGATCAGATAGAATTGAAGGAGAAACAGTTGTCAACCATGAGGGTGGATGTGTGCAGCACAGAAACTCTGAAATGCTTAAAAGGTAATACTTAAAACCCTTTGAAGAAAACTAGGTTTTTGTTTAGATCCATCACTGTCAGGTACTTAGATTAGTTCACCCCACAAAGAGAATTTTAGATTGTAGAAGGTACCTCCCGTTCCCTGGATAGTGATTTCATTCATAGGAATTCCACAAGTAAATTCTTATCTTTTTCCTCACTTTCTTGGTATATTGGGTCATATATAAACAGTTGTGTTTCATGTCTGTGGTAAATTGGTTTAGATATGCTCTTTGATAAAGTCGATGCTGTAATGTGCTGTAAAAGTCTAATTATTTTCTTTTCCTTCCATTGTAAATTATATAATACTAATAATTTTTTAGAATGTACACCTCATGAAGTCAGAAATTACTCTTATTTATTCATTGGTACATCCCAGAACTTAGAGCAGTCCTTAGCACATAATAGGCAGTTGGTTCATTTTGGCATCAATTTTTTTCCTACACCATACTTTAAATTGAGCAGATGTTATCTAATTTAATCCTTATTAATCTCAGCCCTTTTTTGGGGGTGGTGTTTTTTGGGTTGTGGGGCTTTTTTGTTTGTTTGTTTGTTTGTTTGTTTGTTTTGAGACAGAGTCTCACTGTGTAACCCAGGCTGGCCTGGAACTCACAGCAATCCTTCTGCCTCAGTCTCCTGAGTGCTGGGATTACAGGCGTGTGCTACCACACCTGACTAAAATCTCATTCTTATAAACAAAAAATTTACGGCTTCATAAGGAGATAAGAAAAACCAAAATTACCATATCCAAAGTCATACTGTAGCATACACTAGGAAAGAAATATGTATTCAGTTACTAAAGATATGTTTCATCCAGCACTCCCAAGAAGATCTCAGTTAGTTCAAGGCCACCCTAGGATACAGATGAAAGCCTGTCTCAAAAAACAAAACAACAACAACAACAAAATCCCAAAATCAATCAATCAATAAATAAAATGTATGTAATAATTACAGCTGTCTCTTAGTGAATGTTCACTATGTGTCTGACTTTACATATAGGATCTACCTAGCTGAGCATGGTAGTGTATACCTGTAATCTGCTTGGGAGGCTGAGGCAGGAGGACACCATGAGTTTGAGGCCAGCCTGAGCTACATAGCAACATACCCTGTCTCAAAAAATATAACTAACTAACTAACTAACTGTTTCGGGTAGGAAATAACATTTGGTATGATATACACAGAGACCATTTTACTTTTTTGAACCTTCTTTTCTCATCTAAAAGATACATGTTGTCACCTTCTGTAAGGCAGAAGATATGGTATAAGTGGACAGAACTGAGCCTCATACTATTATTCCTAAGCAGCAGTGTGGCCTCAGCTTTGTAAAGAAAAGAAATGGCTGATCAACACCAGTGCCCCCTCTGCCCCCACCCTTAGTACTGAAGATTGAAGCCAAGGTGCATGCTAGGCCAGCCCTAACAAACTTTGTTTAGTTGAACGGATGTGTGTGTGTGTGTGTGTGTGTGTGTTTGTTACTGAGGATTGAACTCAGGTCCTTCACAAAGCTACATCTCTACCCTTTTTTTACTTTTTTACTTTTGATTTTCATTTTTTTGTTTTGTTTTGTTTTTTTCCGGTACCGGGAATTGAACTCATGACTTTGAGCTTGCCAAGCAGGCACTGTGCCACTGAGCTAAATCCCCAGCCCCTACTTTTTAAATTTTCCAGACTAATGCTTTTTTTTTTTTTTTTTTTTTTGGTTTTTGGTTTTTGGTTTTTGTCCGGTACCGGGAATCGAACTCATGACGTTGCGCTTGCCAGGCAGGCGCTTTTGCCACTAAGCTAAATCCCCAGCCTACTTTTTAAATTTTGAGACAGTTGTTTAATTGCTAAGACTGGGGTCAAACTTGTAATCCTCCTGTCTTAGCCTCCCAGAGTGCTGGAAATGTGAACATGTGCATTCACTCTTGATTCTCTGTAGCAGATTCACAGGAATCTGTTGTGAAGAGTTTCATGAAATGGTTTTGTTATTTTGTGATTTGGAGACGCTTTAAAGTAAAAATCTAAAGCTACAAGTATTACTAAGGCAGCAAGAACAAGATCACAAAAAGGGATTTTCCTCAAAAGTAAAAATTTTACTTCTTTTTTTTTTTATCTTGAAATAAACACTTTCTCTGTTGTTTTAGATAAAACAGGGGGGAAGAAGTTTTCCAAAGAATTTGAAGAGGCAAGCTCTAAACTGGAAGAATTTGTGAACGGATTAGATAAGCAGGTGAAAAATGGACCCTCACTAACAGAAGCACTGGAGAATGCTGGAATTTTCTATGAAGCACAGTACAAAGAAGTAAAAGTGGTGGCTAATGTAAGTAATAATCACAGCTGTTTCGCAGTGAATGCAGTGTCGAGGCCAGCCTGGGCTACTTAGGGAGCTCAAGACCAGCCTGAATTACATAGTGAAACCCTGCCTCAAAAACAAAACAACCCAAACATACACTGTTTAACTCTGGAAAGATAAACAGCATTATGTTTGTCTCACAAATGAAGAAAATACTTTTCAGACATAGTGGTGTATAGCTGTTGCTAGAAGTTCAAGGCCAGCCTGAACTACCAAGTTGTTTTGGTTTTTTTTTTTTAATACTTTTGAAGAGAGTTAGTGATCTTGTACAAGCTAATACAGATAGTAAGAAGTGGTAGAGACTAAATTAAGACCTGAATCCTGCTGTTGCTAAAGTTTCTTTATGCTCTAACCATTAAGTTAAGGCCTTGGTATTTTGAAGGTATTGTTAGAAGATGGAAAATTGGGCAAAAGTGAATACATTTTTTTTTTTAAAGCAGAAAACTGGATGGAAACACCGTTAACTAAATTTCATGAAAATGACTGAATTAAAAATCCTTCTTTCTGGGCATGGTGGTACACGCCTGTAATCCCAGCCCTCAAGGGCCTAAGGCAAGATGATCGCCATATCTGTTTCCTAGATACAATCTCTTTATACTCATTTAGCTTTTTTAAAAAATAACTTGCCCATGTTGTTCTTAAATTATCATACAGTATTTTAAAAATATCTGTTAACTTCTTGTTATGACAGATGCTGCTTATACTTTCCTGCCTTGTTCCCTCTTCCAGAATAAATCTCTGTGTACCCTTCTAAACTGAAGTATGGTATTTGTGAGGTATTTGACCGTTAGTTCTAGACATCTGGCTTTGTAGAATTTGGACATTGACAGGTCTGTCTTCCTGCTAGTTTTTTTGTTTTTTGTTTTTTTGTGTATTGGGAATCAAATTCACGATTTCATGCTTGCCAGGCAGGCGCGGTGCCACTGAGCTATATCCCTGGCCCCTCCCTTTAATTTTTAATCTCTTCCTTCAGTTTCCCAACTGTACTGTACTCTGTGTATGTGTGTGTGAGATGCGCGCGCATGCTTGTGCATGCTCTTGGGGATTGAACCCAGGGTTTTGCAGTGCTCAGCATGTACTCTACCACTGAACTTCTTCCACCTGTAGCCCCTAATTTCTTTTCTCTTCCCTCTCCCTCTCCATCTCTCTTGGTTTGTATGTTTGTTTTTCCTTTCTTTTGAGATGGAATCTCACCATATTACCAAGACTAGCTTGAAATTCCTGGCTAAAGGGATCCTCTTGCCTCAGCTTCCTTTGATTTTTTTGTTCGTTTGTTTTTTGTTTGTTTTCCCGGTACTGGGAATTGAACTCACGACCTTGCACTTACCAGGCAGGTGCTATGCCGCTGAGCTAAATCCCCAGCCCCTGCAGCTTCCTTTGAGTAGCTGAGATTAAAGGTGCACACCACTGTGCCAGTTGTATTTTACTTTTACAGTATCAAGAATGATAATATTTTTGTTGCATATGGTAATCATAATTACTTATTCCCTTTCTCTGAAAGTTGAAAATTAATCCCAGCACTGTGGGAGGCTGAGGCAGGAAGGTTATGTAAGTTTAAACTCAGCCTGGCCAATTTAATGAGTGAGGTCAGATATTCTTAGTCCCTTTTTTTCCCAGAGACCTCTCTGCCCAAACTTTGGTCCTCCCTTTTCCCTCCCCGCTCCTCAAAGGTTCTATATCTTGTTTTATAACTATGCTTCCCTGCTATTCTTTTTTTTTTTTTTTTTTTTTTTTTTGAACTGGTTAATTGAACATTAGGACCTTGCACTTGCCAGGCAGGCACTGTGCCACTGAGCTGTATCCTTGGTCCATGCTATTCTGAGTTGAATCCTCTATTTGCCGGATTCTGTCTCTTCTTGTTTTCCCCCCATTTTGCTGAACTGCTGATGAATAATTTCTCAAAAAGTGTAAGAGATAATTTTTCTATGCTCTTATGTCTAGAAATGTCTTAGATTTTTTTTCAACTTTTAATAAAACATATGCAGCTGGGTGTGGTGGCTCACGTCTGTAATCCCAGCACTCAGGAGGCTGAGGCAGGAGGATTGCTGCAAGTTCAGGGCCAGCCTGGGCTACAAAGTGAGTTCAAGACCAGCCTGAACTGCATAGCAAGACCCTATCTCAAAAAGACAGAGAAAGAGGGAGGGAGGGAGGGAGGGGAGGAGAGAGAGAGGAGAAAGGAAGGAAGGAAGGAAGAAAGGAAGGAAGGAACCATATACAAACTGGGCATGGTGGTACACGCCTGTAATCTGAGCTCTTGAGAGGCTGAGGCAGGAGGATCACCATGAATTCAAGGCCAATCTCAACTGCAGAGTGAAACCCTGTCTCAAAAAAAAAAAAAAGTACATTTAATACAATAAATTTCCCTTTAAGTGACATCTCAGAAATTTTGATGCTTAAATGTGTCTTTTTGAGACAAGGTTCAGGCTGGCCTTATAGCAGCCCTCCTGCTTCAGCGTCCCCAGTGCTGAGGTTACAGGTGTGTACCACCACAATGTCTTTTTAAACAGCACAGAATTAGATCTTGCTTTGTTACTTCAATCCAATCTAAACTCTTTGGCTTTTGGTTTTTTTTTCTTCTCCAGTCCTGGGGTCCTAACACAGAATTGCACTATCACTGACCTATATCACAAGTCCCTTTAAAAAAAAAAAGACAGCCTCTCGCTAAATTGCCCAAACTGGCATTTAACTTTCCATCCTCCAGCCTTCTGGATAACTGGGATTATAAATGTGCACCACAGCACCCAGCAATATTTGGCTTTTAATTCGAGCATTTGGTGATATGCTTGGGTTATTGCTTAAGTCTACCATTCTGAGATTTGGTTGGTCCTATCTGAGTTGTATTATACTTTATTTTGTTTTACTGTGGTCCTGGAAATTTAAGCCATGGCCTTTGCACTAAGCTGTATTCCCAGCCCTTTTATTTTTTGAGACACCATCTCGCTAAGTTGCCCAGGCCAAACTGAAATTTGTAATCCTTCTGCCTTAGCCTCCCAAGTGCTGGGATTACAGGCATGCACCGCCTCATCTGGCTTGTCCTGTTCTTTGTTACTTCTTTCTTGTTTTTTATTTTTTAATTAAATAACTTCAGGATCCATCTTTTTTGTTGTTGTTGCTTTGTTTTTGTTTTTTGGGATAGGGTCTTCCTGTGACTGGTTTTGAACTCTCAAGTTATCCTCCTGCCTCAGCCTGCAAAGTACTGGGATTATAGGCATACATTATCATGCCTGGCTCTAGGCTTTATCTGTGGTCTGTGGTCTCTAACTGTCTCTCATTTGTTCTCTCCTGATCCCTTTCCCATGATTTTTTTTGGTGTAGTTTTTATATATGGTGATATACAAACATGAACATAGATATATCCACATCCAGTCTTTTTGCATGTCTTATAACTTATACTGCACACTTGAAGTAACAGTTGTGAAAACTAATTGTGGAAACTAAAACTAAACATTTTCTATTTAGAAGCACTCAGGGCTTCATTTTTAGTCCCCACAAATCCCTGTAATCAGTTAAAGCTTCAGTCATCACTGTGATTTGGAGGCCTGGCTGCAGTCTTGTTAGGGCTTTGTTTGAACAGACCCCTTAGTGCTGGGACAGTATCCATAATCATCCTGGCATGGGCAGGGTGAAATCTCTGGTCAGATCTGCTTCCAAGCTGCTGTTGCTTTGGATCCTTAGAGATCTCACCAAAGGAACTCAGTCCATCACCCTGCTTAATCCACTCATCCTATCTGCTTGCCAGTCATTTTATTTGGGCTTTTATCTCTACTTGAATTATGGACATAATCGTGTCAGTTTCAAATTTCCCTTTTACGTAATTCCAACGCTCAGGAGGCTGATGCAAGAGGAGTGCCATGAGTTCGAGGCCAGTCTGGATTACATAGCAAGACCCTGTCTCAAAAACCAAATTTCCATTCTAGAATCTTAAGTTTCTTAGGGGCTAGGGATTTAGCTCAGCGGCACAGCACCTGCCTGGCAAGCACAAGGTCATAAGTTCAATTCCCAGTACCAGAGAAAAACATAGAATATGAAAAAAATAGAATATGAAGTTTCTTTTTTTTTTTTTTCTTGGGTACTGGGAATCGAACTCAACATCTTGCACTTGCCAGGCAGGTGCTTGTGCCGCTGAGCTATCTCTCTGGCCCCCAGTTTTAGGTTTCTAATTTCTTCCATCAGTTCACTTCAAGACTGTTTCATGTAGGTGGATCTGCTGAATTCTCAATTGCTGAAGAAAAAAGACTGTCAGATTAAACCCGTTTTAAAAACTATGAAAGTACTGTGTCAATAGAAATATTAGGTTTAACTTGCATAAAGCCAAGAAAATAAATACCAGATCATGAATTTCTATCATGCTTTCCTTTCTACACCCCAGCATAAAGAATGTTCTTTAAAATAAATTTTTTTTCCAGCACTCGGGAGGATCATTGCGAGTTTGAGGCCTGCCTGGGCTACAAAGTGAGCTCAAGGCCAGCCTGAATTGCATAGAAAGACCTTGTCTGAAAAAGACAAAAATAAATTAATTAAATTAAATAAAGCTTTTTTTTTTTTTTTTTAAAGAAAAATGGTATTAAGAAAGAAGGGAGCCAGGCATAGTGGCACATGCCTGTGACCCCAGCCTGGCAGAGGAGCATGGTAGAGGGTAGCTGCTCACACTCTGGCAGCCCGGAGGTAGAGCATCAGAGCAGGAGTGGGAAAGAAGGAGCCATGACTGCCTCTGCCTCCACACCTACCTCCTAATGGCACAGTAGCTGTGGCGCCCCTAGTCTAGCATGCTCCAGATACATGAGGCCTGGGAGCCATTTTAGATCTTAATCATAACACCTGTGTGAGTGTATATGTGTGAGAATATGTGTGTGTGTCTCACAAGAGAGTTACAACATTAGTTTCTAGTTTTTACCCTTTTTCACTTTTTTTTTTCTTCAGTGCCTGGGATTGAACCCAGGGCTTTATGCATGCTAGGCAAGTGCTGTGCTGCTGAGCTACATTCCCAGCCCTCTGCTTTTCAGATTTCTAATTGATTTTGCAGTGCAAACAAAGCATTACTCTTCTTAGCTTCAGTGTGTTACCCTATTCTCCCACGAATAGTCAGTCACCCAGTACTTCTGTCCCTTCCTGGCCTCTTCTGTGGGCTTCTGCATACCCTTCTTAGGCTCCAGAGTCCCTTCCAATGCCTCCTACCCATGAACCTTCTCCTCAGCTCTAACTAATGGGTTTTGCATTGGATTACTCAAGAAAGGAAAAGGAAGGGATTTTTTAAAATATTCATGAATATTAATCATAGCTGTTTTGTTTTCTTAAGTAATTCTGATATTGGCTTTACTTCTTATGGGTATATTTCTAGGATCTTTTTTCGTTGTAGTTATTTAAACTTGTCATTGTGCCTAGTTTTTTATTGAATGAAGAACATTGTGCTAGGTATGGTGCATGCCTATAATCCCAGCACTCAGGAGGCTGAGGCAAGAGGATCACCAAGAGTTTGAGGCCAGCCTGGGCTACATATTGAGACACCCTGTGTCAAAGAACAAAAACAAAACAAAACAGAGAGAGAGACAGGATCCTCACTAAGTTACCCAAGCTGGACTTGAATTCGTGATTCTTTTCCTTCAGCTTCCCAGAGTGCTAGGATTCCAAGAGTACACTACCATTTCCAGGGTAGTTTTTTTTCAAATTTAACTTTAGGGTCTGTTTTCTTACTCATTGCCTTATCTTCAATTCTAGTATAATCACCTGCACATTGAGGTTCTCAGTAAATGCTGCTGGCTCCAGATATGGTAACACATAGTTGTAATCCCAGCATTCTGGGAGGCTGAGGCAGAAGGATCACATGTTTGAGCCCATGCCGGGCAGCTTAGCAACCTAGCCTGGCTCAAAAATGTAAAAAAGTCTAGAACTCTATGTGATGACCTGGGCTTCAATCCCTAGTACCACAAAATCAATAATGCTCGGTTGAGTGGATAGGTGGAAGTGGGGGAGGATCAATCACAGACAACCTTAGACTTATAACTCAGGCAGCTTTCTGGTGGCAGTACTCACTTAGGAGTACACAGTAGAGACTAGAAATGCTTAGGCTCCACATGGTGGTGCACGCCTGTAATCCCAACGTGCTGGCAGCCTGCTACAGGAGGATCATGAGCTCAAGCCCACCCTTTGCAATTTGTCAACTTACTGACCCCTCTCAAAATAAAAATTTAAAAGAGTTTCTGGATTGTAGCATAATACAAAGGCCCTGGGTTCAGTCTCTCTTGCCACAGAAAAAACTGTTCCATGTGTTGCACATTATGGTATTCTTTGTGCAAGTGATAATGTTAGTGAGGAAATCTGTTTATAAAGTCAAAATGAATAAACTTTCATCTTTTTTAGGCATACAAAACCTTTGCTAACCGTGTAAACAATTTAAAGAAGAAATTGGATCAGTTAAAGTCAACCCTTCCTGATCCCGAAGAATCCCCAGTCCCTTCCCCAAGCATGGATGCTCCCTCCCCAACTGGTTCTGAATCTCCGTTTCAAGGAATGGGAGGTGAGGAGTCCCAGTCACCAACTGTGGGGAGTGAGAAATCTGCTACACCCGAGCCTGTGACAGACAACCGTGATGTGGAAGACATGGAGCTCTCAGATGTGGAAGATGATGGGTCCAAAATCATTGGTACGTCCTTATGTGATTTGTGAACAACTTAGTCCTTGTCAGTTTGGCTTTCCCACCCATTAATCACTCACAGGAAGATACTAGAAAGATAGGTCAGTCCTTACACTTAGAACATGAGAATAGTATACTGTCCCTAGTACAGTGAGTTCAGGATTTAGTAAGCCCCAAAGGTTAAGAATCATTGCTTATAGCCAGGTGTAGTTACTCATGCCTATAATTCCTGCATTCGGGAGGCTGAGGCAGGAGGACTGCAGCATGTTGAAGGTCATCCTGAACTACACAATGAGACCCTTCCTCAAAAACAAAACAAAACAAAAATGAAATCATTGCTCAGCCAGCTAAGGTTGTGCACACTTGTAATACCAGCAATCAGGTGGCTGAGGTGGGGGGATCATGAATTCAAGGCCAGCCTGTGCTACAGAGTGGGTTCAGGGCTAGTCTAGATTACACAGTGAGACCCTATTAGAAGGAAGGAAAGGAGGAGGAGGGAAAGGAAGGAAGGAAAAGAAAAGGGAAGGAAAAAAAGAAACACTAAGGTTGGAGTTGTAGCTCAGTGTACTTGCCTGGCACACACCAATCCCTGGATTCAGTCCCCAAACTGCAGAAAAAGGAGAAAGAGAAAGAAAGGAGGAAAGGAAGGAACAAAAAGTAAGAACTATTGCTCAAGATCAACATTGTTAGCAGACATAACGATGCATACCTTAATGCCAGTTACTCAGGAAGCTGAGACAGGACGATTTTGAATTTAAAGCCAGTGTCAACTTAATGAGACCCCTTTCTCAAAAAAGTTAGCTGGGCTTGGAGGCACATGCTGTACTAGGATTCTGAGAGTCTGAGGCAGTAGGATCCCAAGTGCAAGCCCAGCCCAGGCAATTTAGTGTCTTAGGGGAGACCCTGCCTCAAAATACACTTAGATTGTAAATTATGAAGACTATGACTTTAAAAACCAAAATAAAACATAAAATTTCAAAAGACCAGGCATGGTGGTGCATGCCTGTAATCCCAGCACTCGGGAGGCTGAGGCAGGAGGATTGTTGTGAGTTTGAGACCAGCCTGGGCTACAAAGTGAGCTCAAGGCCAGCTTGAACTGCATAGTGAGACCCTGTCTCAAAAAAAGACAACAGAAAACATAAAATTTCAGCTAGGCAAGAGGAGGTAAAGAGAATACCTGTAGTCCCCACGTTGTGGGAGGCTGAGGCAGAAGGATCGCAAGTTTGAGCCCAGCCTGGGCAACTTAATAATTTAGCAAGACTTTATCTCTAAATAAAAAGACTAGGGATGTAGCACAATGTGAAGGCCCTTAGTTTAATCCCCAGTGCCACTAAACAGACAAATAGGGCATAAAGTGAGTGGTTGATTCTCTTGAATATGGTGCTGCTTCCTCCCAAATCAGTAAATATTAGGACACACTGTTTTGTATTGGAAGCAAAGTCTGGAAGGCAGGAGGGTATGATATCATCTCTTTCCTTTGTTGAAACAGTGGAGGACAGGAAGGATAAGCCAGTGGAGAAGACAGCTGTCTCCACTTCTGTACCTACAAAGCCAACAGAAAGTATCTCAAAGGCCTCTTCGTGTGCTCCAGTGCCTGCGACCGTGACAGCAACCCCACCTCTTCCAAAGCCTGTGACTACGTCTCTTCTGTCCCCTTCCCCAGCTTTGGCTTTGCCAAACCTGGCTAATGTGGATCTAGCAAAGATCAGTTCCATCCTTAGCAGCCTGACTTCAGTCATGAAAAATACTGGTAAGTCCAGGGAAGAGGATAAAAAGCTGATTTTCATCATTTTAAAATTGAACCATCAGTCTTTTTTTGTATTCAGGTTTTAAAAATTCTTACTAAGAAATGTAAAAGGCTGAAACGATGGTACATAGCTTGTAACCCCAGTACTCTGGGAGGCTAAGGCAGGAGGATCTCAAGCTTGAACCCAGGCTGAACAACTTAGTGACTTAGTGAGATCCTATGTCAGAAGCTGGATGTGGTGGCACATGCCTGTAATTCAGCACTTAGGAGGCTGAAGCAGGAGGACTGCCAGGAGTTCAGTGCCAGCCTAAACTACACAGCACGACCTTGTCTTAAAAAAAAAAAAGAGAGAAAAAAGAAAAAGGCTGGGGATATAGCTTAATACAAAGATCCTGGGTTCAATACATACTTACATACACATATGATGGAACAAAAATAAAACCAGTACATGAGCATTACAGAAAAATTAGAAAATCAGCAAAGAAAATAAATGTCTATAATCCTGCTGTCCCAAAGGATATCACTGGTGTTTACCCTTACCAGGGATAGGTGTATATGAGAGTATGGAGGATTATTCATAATTTTTCCTTTAATAACTGAAATATTCTATAATACAGTTTTATAACCAGCTATGTAAAATAATAAATATATAGGGAGTTTTTAAATTGTTTTTGTTTTGGGTTTTTGTTTGGTTGGTTTGGTTTTTGTTTGTTTTGGGGTTTTGGTGGTGGTGGTGGTCGTGGTGGTAGGGCCTCATATATGCCAAGCATATGCTCTACTATGATCTATAGCCCAGTGACACAAGCATCTGCCTAGCAAGCACAAGGTCCCGAGTTCGATTCCTGTTACCCACCTCAAAAAGAATTAATATTTAGGCCGGGCATGGTGGCACATGCCTGTAATCCCAGCACTTGGAAGGCGGAGGCAGGAGGACTGCTGCAAGTTTGAGGCCAGCCTGGGCTACAAAGTGACCAGCCTGGGCTACAAACTCCTGGGTTCAAGCTTGAGATCCTCCTGCCTTAGCCTCCCAGAGTACTGGGGTTACAAGCTATGTACCACCATTTGATCTACACCCTCATCCCTACCTAGATTTTTAAAAAATTTTCTTTTTTGGTACCAGGAATTAAATTCAGGGCTTTGAGCTTGGCAGGCAGGCGCTACACCCTGGCTACATTCCAGCACCTAGTTTGTTTGTTTTTTTTTAATGGAAAATTCTGATTTTTAAAAAATGGCTAAGTGACACTGGGCATGGTGGTGCAAGCCTGTAATCCTAGCACTCAGGAACCTGAGGCAGGAGGGCAGCCATGAGTTCAGGGTCAGCCTGGACTACATAATGAAAAGTAGATAGAGCACCTCATGTACTCATCACTCAACTGTAGCAGGATAGCAAAGGCAAATCTCATTTCATGTATTCCTTGCTCACCCTGGATTATTCTGAGGGAAATTCTAGTTACTTCATTTCATCATAAATAATTAAAAATGTATGTTTCTAGGGCTGGGGATATAGCTCAGCAGCATAGCGCCTGCCTGGCAAGCTGAAGGTCCTGAGTTCAATTCCCAATACAAAGAAAAAAATACACATACATATTTTTAAAACATAAAGACTCAATCAGCATGTAGGTTTTTAACATCTTTTCTTTTTTTTTTTTTTTTTTGAGACTGGGTTTTGCTGTGCACTTCAGGCTGGCTTTGAACTCACTTTGTAGCCCAGGCTGGCCTCGAACTTGTAGCAGTCCTCCTGCCTCAGCCTTCCAAGTGCTGGGATTACAGGCATGTGCCACCATGCCTGGCCTAAATATTAATTCTTTTTGAGGTGGGTAACAGGAATCGAACTCGGGACCTTGTGCTTGCTAGGCAGATGCTTGTGTCACTGGGCTATATCCCTGGCCCTAACATCTTCTCAAATGTCATAACTAAGTTGATATCCAAGAAGGTACTATTTTGTGCATTTCTATATGAAAGTTCCTGTTGTTTTTTACCCTTTCCACTGTTTACTTTGCTTAATCTACATCACACACAGCTTTAAAATGTTGATAACCAGGCTCCGTGGTATACATCTATAATCCCAGAACTCTGGGCAGCTGAGGCAGGAGGATGACAAGTTAGAGCCCTGCCTGGACAATTTAGTGACTTAGAAGGACCTTTTTTTCAAAATATAAACAGGAGCTGGGACTGTAACCTAGCATGCAGTGCAGCACTGCAGCAAAATAAAAAAGGTTGTTTGTTTTGATATGTATTCTTAAATTCATGAAAGATGTGGTTGAATTTTTTTCATTTGATTATCACTTATATCTTTATAGTTTCTACCATTTTTCAAAAAAAAAAACTGTTTGTTTTCTCTTCATTGTATACAGTTTTTTGCTAAGTCAAAAGTCAAAGAAAAAAAGGGCTGGGCGTGGTGGCGCATGCCGGTAATCCCAGCACTCAGGCTGGGGCAGGAGGATCGTTGTGAGTTCGAGACCAGCCTGGGCTACAAAGTGAGCTCAAGGCCAGCCTGAACTGCATAGCAAGACCCTGTCTCAAAAAGACAAAAAAAAAAAAAAAATCAGCCCTGTGTTTTTAAAAAAAAAAAAATGGAAAAGTATAAATGAGGTTGCTTCTATAATTTCATTTTAAAGGCCATTTCAAAAGCAAACCACTTAGCAGTCACATGGCAGTTGCAATTTGTCCTGAACACTGTTGGGTTCTGAAGTGTAGGTGCCATTTGGCAGAGAAAAAAGAAGTAGGTGGCTTGTTCTCTTCTTACAGAGGCTCTCAAAAGTAATGAAAATAAAAATAACTCGAGGCAGATTTTAACCTAATTTTCCGGCTTTTTGTTTGTTCATATCATGATAGAGTTCATTTGTGGATCAGTCACAGAAGAAAGTGAATGGAGAGCTGGTGATGTAGCTCAGTGATAGAGCACTTGGCTAGCATGTGTGAGGCCTTGAGTTCAGTCTTGGGTACAGCAGAAGTGAATGGAAAGTCATTTTGAAATTGCATTGTTTTGAGTTCATCTTTCTGCCACCAGGGGTCAGTCCTGCATCAAGACCCTCTCCAGGAACTCCTACCAGTCCCAGCAACCTCACCAGCAGCCTGAAAACGCCTACACCTGCCACAACCACACCCCATAACCCTCTGGCAAATATTCTCTCAAAGGTGGAGATCACCCCTGAGAGCATTCTGTCTGCTCTTTCCAAAACTCAGACACAGTCAGCCCCTGCACTGCAAGGTAAACGGAAATGTGCCAGAGGGACTTGAATGGTGAATGTTTGTCTCTGATTTAATCCCAGATTCCATTTCTGAGGAAGCCAAAGCCATGAAATGTGTAACACAGTTAATTCAGCATTCTCTTTATATTTCTCATCTATAACTTGGCTTTTTTCTTTTCTAACCAGGTTTTATTGGTACATTTTAGATATACATAATGATCATATTCATCATAGAGTATTTGTACCTGTACACGATAGAACTTTCCCACATTCTCCTACCCTCCCTTCTGCCCCTCTTCCCCTCACTTACAAAGCTTTGTTTCCATTTTATTATTCTTTTATAATTTGGCATTTAGAGAATTACAAAACATAAAGCAGAAGGAAGCCAAGCACTGTGGTGCATACCTGTAACCCCAGCTGAGGCAGGAGGATCACAAGTTCAAGGCCAGCCCAGGCAACTTAGTAAAACTGGCTCAAAATTAAAAAATAAAACAGTGCTGCGATGTAACTCCCCTACAGGGTTACAAGTTCCAGGCATCCTGGACAGCGTAGCAAGACCCTGCCTCAAAAAAAAGTGTGTGTGTGTGTGTGTGTGTGTGTGTGTGTGTGTATGTATTCACATTCTTGTGCTAGAGAGCTTCTAGGTTTGGTGAAAACAGTGACTACTAGGAATTAAACAGAAGGGGGAACATTACATAGCTAGGAAATTTTGGAATGAACTATGCTTTTTTTTTTTCTTTAAAGAAAGATAACCAAAGTTAACCTTCAAGTTTTAGGCATTATTAGACATCAGTGTTAGATGACTGGATAACAGTTAAAACCAGGCAGCCTCATGCTGAGTGTGGTGGCTCACCCCTGTAATCCCAGCACTCCAGAGGCTGATGCACGATTACTGCAAATTCCAGGCCAACCTGGGGTACATAGCAAGACCCTGTCTCAAAAACAAAATAAATACCAGGGAGCCTTATTTAAAAGTAAATGGTTTAAAAACATTACAAGTGTGATGTAACCTTAAAATTCTTCAGATCTGAGCTGGGTGTGATCGTACACACCTATAATTCTAGCTACTTATGCGGCAAAGTGAGGAGGATCACAAAGTGTGCACCACCACACCCAGCTAGATCAAATTTATACTGTTTATGACCAAAAACTGGATCAGTTTTGCAAAGTGTGATCCAGTTGGTAAGATCTTCTGTTACCGCTGTCAAATATTTTTAAAAACAGTTTTTACAGGAAGAGTTTGCCTCGCTGAATTTCAGCCTTTGCCCCAAAGAATTTTTTCTCTGTCCTTATAAGGAGGTTTTGTCCATCAGTGAATAGGGTTGTATCTCATTTTCGTTAGCTTTAACCAATCAACAATCCTTAGATTTCCCAAGCTATAAAATGAAAGTTGTGTGTTTTCTCTGTGTATGTGTGTGTGTGTGTGTTCTTGTGAAAAGATTGGTGCACACCTATTGGTCTCCGTTTGTCTTTGTGGTGTATATTTATTATTGCTACATTTTACAAATAAAATTGATTGTTTCCCTAATGATAATACCAGTGTAGTGAGAAATACTTCTTATTCAAATAAATTTCCGAAGTTTTCGTGCCTTTCTCCTTTATGAGAATAGCAGTGTGCATTTACTCACTAGAATCAGTTGTGGAAGCTGGAAAGGAAAGATAGGGAAGGGTATCCATTTGCATTTAGAGAAGCTTTTCCCTAAATCAAACGTTAAATACCAGCTTACATTGTTGTTTTAAAATTAACTTTGCTTCCTTTCTTTTTCTGCTTTGCCTTACTTAAACTGACTGATTCTGACATTAAAATCTCTCCCTTCCTGCTGCTTTTTATTGTGCCATGCTAGACTTGTTTCTAGCTTGTACTGGGAATGTTTCAGTGATTTGTTTTCTGATTGATAAATAAGTCCAATGTTTTCAGTGACATTTAGCCATGGCTTGTTTGGTCTGGATTCCTTTTGGCTTTGTATTTTAAAGACTATCTGGTTCCCACCAGAATGAATTCGAATAACTAATAAGCCCACATTGTTTATCATATGGTAGGGAGTTCTTTTTAACCCCTCTAATCTTTGTTTCTACAGGCCTGTCGTCTTTACTTCAGAGTGTTACTGGGAACCCAGCTCCAGCCAGTGAAGCTACATCCCAGAACACTTCAGCCTCCCCTGCCAACACGACAGTTTCTACTATAAAGGGAAGAAATGTACCCTCCAATACCCAGTCTTTTATTCCCAAAAGTTTCAACTATTCTCCTAATTCATCAACTTCTGAAGTCTCTTCAACTTCAGCCATCAAAGCATCAGTAGGGCAAAGCCCAGGGCTTCCAAGCACTACTTTTAAACTACCGTCCAACTCTCTAGGGTTTACTGGTACCCACAGTACCAGCCCGGCTGCCCCACCTACTGAAGTTGCCATGTGCCAATCTTCAGAGAGCTCCAAGCCAAAGCTGGAGTCAGAGTCCACCTCCCCAAGTCTGGAAATGAAGATCCACAACTTCTTAAAAGGTAATCCTGGTTTCAGTGGCTTAAATTTAAACATCCCAATCCTGAGCAGTTTGGGATCCAGTGCCCCATCAGAGAGCCACCCCTCAGACTTCCAGCGTGGCCCTACTAGCACCTCAATTGACAACGTTGACGGAACCCCTGTACGGGATGAACGGAGTGGGACTCCCACCCAGGATGAGATGATGGACAAGCCCACATCCAGCAGTGTAGATACTATGTCCCTGCTTTCTAAGATCATTAGCCCTGGTTCCTCAACACCCAGCAGTACAAGATCTCCACCCCCTGGGAGAGATGAAAGCTACTCCCGGGAGCTCTCCAATTCTGTATCTACATATCGACCCTTTGGCCTGGGCAGTGAATCTCCCTATAAGCAGCCTTCTGATGGAATGGAGAGACCATCTTCCCTGATGGACTCTTCACAGGAAAAGTTCTATCCAGATACTTCTTTCCAAGAAGATGAGGATTATCGAGATTTTGAGTATTCAGGGCCTCCACCCTCTGCCATGATGAACCTAGAGAAGAAACCAGCCAAATCTATCCTGAAGTCAAGCAAGCTTTCTGATGCCACCGAGTACCAGCCAATCCTGTCCAATTATAGCCACAGGGCCCAAGAATTTGGGGTAAAGTCTACTTTCCCTCCATCCGTAAGGGCCCTCCTGGACTCTAGTGAGAACTGTGACCGTCTCTCATCTTCCCCTGGGCTATTTGGTACCTTCAGCATAAGAGGGAATGAACCTGGGTCTGACCGGTCACCATCACCGAGTAAGAATGATTCATTTTTTGCCCCTGACTCCAACCACAATAGCTTGTCTCAGTCTACCACTGGGCATCTCAGTTTGCCACAGCAGTACCCAGACTCTCCTCACCCAGTCCCACATCGTTCCCTTTTCTCTCCGCAGAATACCCTTGCTGCTCCCACGGGCCACCCACCCACATCAGGCATGGAGAAAGTCCTGTCCTCCACCATTTCCACCACATCGACGATTGAGTTTAAGAATATGCTTAAAAACGCCTCTCGCAAGCCCTCAGATGATAAGCATTTTGGCCAAACCCCCAACAAAGGCACTTCAAGTGATGGTGTCAGTCTGTCAAACCTCGCCCAGCCCAGCCTGCCCACCTCTGATCAGCAGCAGCAAGAAGAGCACTACCGCATAGAAACCCGCGTCTCCTCCTCCTGCTTAGACTTGCCTGATAGCACGGAAGAAAAGGGGGCCCCTATAGAAACTTTGGGTTACCATAATGCAGCCAATAGGAGGATGTCAGGGGAGCCAATACAGACCGTAGAGTCCATCCGAGTTCCTGGGAAGGGAAATAGAGGACATGGGCGAGAGGCTTCAAGGGTGGGTTGGTTTGATCTGAGCACATCAGGCAGCTCTTTTGACAATGGTCCCTCAAGTGCCTCTGAGTTGGCATCCCTTGGGGGTGGGGGCACCGGAGGACTCACTGGCTTTAAAACACCGTACAAGGAACGGGCACCCCAGTTTCAGGAGAGTGTCGGCAGCTTTCGTTCCAACAGTTTCAACTCAACCTTTGAGCACCATCTCCCCCCGGCTCCCTTGGAACACGGGACACCCTTCCAGAGAGAGCCAGTGGGGCCATCGTCTGCCCCACCTGCTCCTCCTAAGGATCATGGTGGTATCTTCTCGCGAGATGCACCTGCTCACCTGCCCTCTGTGGATCTTTCGAACCCTTTCACAAAGGAGGCAGCCCTGGCCCATGCTGCCCCACCGCCTCCTCCTGGAGAGCACAGCGGAGTTCCTTTCCCTGCCCCGCCCCCTCCTCCGCCCCCTGGGGAACATAGCAGCAGTGGTGGGAGTGGTGTCCCCTTTGCTACTCCGCCACCTCCTCCACCCCCTGTTGACCACTCTGGGGTTGTACCCTTCCCCACCCCACCGCTGGCAGATCACGGAGTGGCAGGGGCTGTGGCAGTATTTCCCAAGGACCATAGTTCCCTTCTTCAGGGGACCCTGGCTGAGCATTTTGGTGTGCTTACAGGACCTAGGGACCATGGGCCCCCCCCTCAACGGGACCTCAACGGCCCTGGCCCTGGCCTTAGCCGAGTGCGGGAGAGCCTGAGCCTACCCTCCCACCCTCTGGAGCACCTGGGCCCAGCCCTTGGCGGAGGAGGTGGGGGGGGCAGCAACAGCAGCAGTGGCCCCCCCTTGGGTCCCTCACACAGAGACACCATCAACCGGAGTGGTGTGATTTTACGGAGTCCCCGGCCAGACTTTCGGCCTAGGGAACCTTTTCTCAGCAGAGACCCATTCCACAGTTTAAAGAGACCCAGGCCACCTTTTGCTAGGGGCCCTCCGTTCTTTGCACCAAAACGCCCATTCTTCCCTCCCAGGTACTGATGGAAACCAAGGGAAAAAGTATTTGGAACAGTCTAGAGAGCCTTGAAAGTAGGGGTTTGGGTTGTTGTTGTTTTTGTTTTTGTTTTCTCTCCCTTGCTTTATTTTTTATTATGGTAAGGGCCTGCCTTCCAAACTGAAAAGTTATACATGCCTACTTTTCACTATTCCATCAAGTCCTCCCTCCCACTGCACTTACTACCTTCCCCATGTTGATTGTATTCGAGAGGGAGAAAAAACCCACAACCAAAGCCACTTCATTTGGCTGGGGCTTGGGGAGTGGGGAAGAAAAACAGTCTTTATCACATCTATTGAAGACTATTTACTACATTTGAAATAAAACTTCCATCAGTACAGATGATAACATGTGCAATGTTGGGGTGTTATTTGGGCTTGCCTATCCAGTAGTCAGCTTGGTGACTGCTGTTACCAGTGTGACTCCCTCCCCCTGTGCTCTGCAGTGCTGACCGCCAAGGGATGGGAAGCATGGGAGACCTTGGGCCTGTCGGACTTGCTTGTTTGGGGTTTTTTAAAGGCATGTTGAAGCTCCTTATCCTTCTCCTAACATCTTAATTTTTTTTAAGTCAGCCCCTTCCTCCAAAGTACTATCTGGCAGTAGTTTTGAGACATTACAAACCTCATTCTTAGTAGAAATTTTTTCTCTTCGTCCTTGGAGTGAAAGAGAGGAGGCTAAATATAAATTCAAGGTGAAAGTAAGGAGCAAGTGTAATATATAAAGCTAGGAGAGGAACTGTTGATGGTGTGATGTGACCTGACTATCCTTTGTAAGCAAGAAACTAGGACACATTTTGAAATAGTTTTCCACAAATATTGTATCATCCTCTTGCCTCCTGCTTTGTTCCTGGACTTTCTTTTTCTCTCTCAGTTTTTACCTTTTGGCTAGAAAGTCACTACAGTTGACCATTGATACAAAGGTTCAACTGAGATATTATCCCTGTGTCTTAATAAAAGAAGTAGACATTAATGTTACCATGGTGCCTCCCTAGTGTAATATTTATTGGTGATTTTCAGCAAGGATTAATGCTTAGAGAAAGGAAGACCTTTGTCCTCATCTCCCCTTGCCTCAGTCCTGACAGCACCCCTGTTCTTGGTATTTCAGAGGAGACTTCTTAGTATCTTTATAGTATAGCTCTTTAGATGTGTCTTAGAACAGGTGGGCATTGCTATTCATGTATTTATGGAGAAACAAGAAAACTGATAAATCCAGATTGACCCCACTCCTCAGATAACAAGCAGCCTATAGTGTTTCAAGGACTAACCGTACCCCCACCCCCAACAGGAAGTAAAGAATGTTTCTGCCCTTAGTCACTTCAAGAAAGAAATGCTTCCCTTCTCCCTGGACTTTAAAAGGCTTGTTTATATTTCTACATCTAGTACTTGGGAAAAGACAAACACTAAACTTTGTTTATATTTTTGGATCTAGGGACCCTGAAAAGCAAATAGCTGCTTACTACATTTTTTATTCAGTGTTTTCACCCTATTGAATTATAAATCGCCGGCTAGATGAGTAAAACATCCTGGCAAATTGATACATTTTCTCCCATCTTAGTGTAGAACTAACCAGGGAAGTATGGGGATGGAATTTTGAAGATGAGAGAAGCTAGATAATGTCACAAAACCCATTCTTCATCCAGAATAAGTTTGCTTTTCAGAGAAAGGACAGCTTAAGCCACATGCGCATCCTAGCTTGGGAGTTTTCTGTAGTGTATTCTGTGTATTTATTTGGGCTCACCCTGTGTTCTGCGGTCAGGGTGATAAGTCATTTGTCTTCCTAATGCTTATCTGGCTTTAAACAAGCTGTTCTTTGTTTCTTTGACCCTCTCAAGCCTCTGTCCTATAGTTGTCCCCACAAGAGTGCATGATACCATGACCTTCCATGTGGGACGGGACATACAGTATAACAATGCAAAGGAGATGTAGTTGTATTGGGTTCTAATACTGAAAAGGAGAAAAGGGTCGGATAGGGGGATTCTATTTGACCTTCAGAATTGTTTTTTTTTCAAAAATGAAGTAGGATATTTTTCATTCTGGAACACAAGAATGTGAATTCCTTCTGCTGCTCTTGTTTAAGCTAAATGTAGTGTTTACTTGAAAAGGCTCTCTGACCTTTTGATTTTATCGGAAATTTGGGATGTCAGCAAAAACATGATGCCTGACACATGAAAGACTTTGTACAGTTCAAAGGTGAATTTGTTTTTGTGGAATAATTTTGTTTTGTTTTTGCTACAAAATCCTCTGCATTTGTTTCAGGATGGAAGTGAGGATTTGTATGAGACTGTCGGTTAACTAATTTTACAGAAATCTGTCTACAGCAGTGAGTTAAGATGACAGTGTAAATATGTGACATAGTGAAAAGGCATTTCTGGTATTCATAAACGTGATACAAACAGATCTTACTCTTTCTGTGTCTGTGATTTAAAACTCTGTGACCATGCTCTGACTTGTATATCAACCTGAGTTTAAAAAAAATAAACAAGCTATTTTTTAAAGAAAGTATAACATAGTGTGTCTTAGCAAGGACATGATTCATATGAAAGCAGAATATGAGTTGTTGCTAAGGTCTTTGGTGCTCACTGTAAAATCACAGACAGAGAACTCTAGTGAACACACTAGTATCATTTAAAGTTTAGTTACACAGTATCAGGGATAGGGCCCTTAAGTATTTTGTAAGAGTTCATTGTTAAGCCTGCTTAGATGAGAGCCCTCCCCGCTCCCCTCTGCCCTCCCAAGAGTTGAGGTAATTAGAATATGGTTTGATTTGAGGGAGGTGAGCAGAGAGCAGGATTTTTACCCTTTCTAGTACCAGGAACACACTTTGTAATAGTACATGGTACAGCAAACCTATCTAGATATGTGAATATGCTAAACTTTCTAATTGCAGAGTCTTCACTATCCTGAAGTTACCTGTTCACGCGGTTAAGCTTCAGCTGTTACTGTTTTAAGCCGCTGTAAATTACTGCTTCTCTCCTCCCTCCCTCTTTTTTAATTGGTGGGGGGTGCCTGTTAAGAGTAAAATTAGATACGTTGGGTTGGTATTTTCACGTGTTCGGTATGGAAAACAAAACAAGTACCTGCTTTAGAGGCAACAACAATGAAAGCCTTTTGAAATGTGTGTTAATATCATTTAATAAAAATAACTAGTTCTAAAGGTTTGACATTTTTCTTTGAGATTGGGGCTTGGACCAAGGGCCCTCGGCCCTTCTGGTGAGTGCAAGTAGGAGGGAACTTCTCCAGGAGCTGAAACTGCTACTGTGTAAGGAGGCCTGTGGTTGGAAAACCTAAATTTTCTCCAGCAAAGATCCAACATGACTGTCCAGGGCTGAAGGCGAAACCAACTACAGAATGCAGAGAGAACAGTGTGGCTCTGTCTCTGAAGATGCAGTTATACTGCTTTCGGTTTAAGTGTGTCTGGGGAAGGGGGCGAGAGTGGCACACACAGATGGCCACCGCCACCTATCTTGTCCCTTCCTCGGGACCACTTGAACTTTCTTCTCGTCCAGCCATTCCTCTACTTTGAAAAAATCTTTGTCACCAATATTTTGTTTTCCAGTTTAATAAAGTATATTTTTTTGTTGTGTGGTTGACTTACCCTCTCACGTTGATCTTGTCCAGCTGGCCAGTTTGACTTTAATATCATGGAGAGCTGATATTAAGTCCGAGCCTCTAGGATCTTCCTGGCCTTGTGGATTTTCTGTTTGATCCTTTGTATAATTGTGTAGTGGGTGGGGTGAGACCAAGATGTTCAGGGAGTGGTTGGTGGTGAAGTGGGACATACTGTATAGATAATTATTTGTATCTTCTAAAAGATGTATGATTGTGAGCCAGGAAGCATTTTTTCAAGCACAGAACTAGGGGGAAGGTGTGTTAGGCCAATTCTTTTCCCACATCTACCCTTCTTGTTGCATGTAGGCAATCTATTGTTTGGAAGCCATGCTTAACCCTTCTCTCTTACCTCATCCCATCTCTTTTTCATAATCTAATGAGGCTCAGTAAATGGAATGTTGGCTTTAAAGGGTGAAGAGGGACAGTCACTACATCTGGGCCAGGCCTAGGTCACTGGCAGGGTAGAAGGCTCTAAATAGCAGCCTTGATTGTGTAAAGGTCCATGTGTATGTGTCATGAAACACTTTGGAAATAGCAGCAGCCTAAGGACACACCCAGAAGGTAGGGTGTACCAGTGTACTGGCTGCTGCTGTCTTCCTTACCCTCTTGATCCTTGATTTGTCCTATCTCCCGCTAAGGAAGCAACAGCATCTAGCCCTCACTGGCCTTTCTGGGCATGTTATTGAATATGCATAGCTGCCTCCCCTAAGTTGTTAAGCAAAGATGAGTTACCTCTGTATGACATAGTAAGGCTGGGCCTCAGTGTTGGGGTGCTCTCAAAGCTTGGTTATTGAGAAGTGGACCTTAGTTACATATTTTCTTCTATAGTCAGGCTGGGTTTTGGAGTATTGGGGTGCTTCTCATACTTGCTGATGAATAACCAGATGTGTCTGATCAGCTGCTATTTACAGTTGCTGAGTAATAACTCATTGAGGCTGCATAGACAAGGCTATGAGAGGGCTGCTATTAAAGAGAAAAATCCATGTAGGTAGACGTCTTACTCTCCCTCTGTGTAGAAAAGAAACATTCTTTAAGGAAAGAAACGTGTGTGATGTGAAAACGTTATTTTCAGTGCAGAGGGATGAGAGAAGACACTTGAGAGGAAAAGTATAAGGCAGCCTAGATGTATTCAGTTTCATCATTATTGTTACTTTATGGTTTTTGTGTGTGCTGGGGCTTAAGCCCAATGCCTTGGTATATGCTAAACATTTACTGTACCACTGAGCTAAATCCCTAGTTCTTCCATTTTCTGTTTTATATGTTTTAGTCTTTCCCTGTGTTCTCACTTAGAGTCAGTGTTGATGATACAGATGTGGGATCTGGGTGGATGGACTGTGGAGCTTTGTAGTTCCAGCTGTGGAACAGACAGCTTTTTGTGTGTGTGTGATTCAAATGGGTGTTTTGACTAAAGCAGCCTGACCTGGACCTGTTCAGGTTCATAGCACATTTTCCAGCAAATTTACTTCCTTATCCCTTGTGTGTGTGTGTCTTTGAGACAGGGTCTCGAACTCCCTTGCCTTAGCCTTCCAAGTGCTGGGATTACAGGCATGTGCCCCCATGCCCGATCTTGTACTTTTGTTTTGGTTTTTTTTTTGGGGGGGGGTTTCTCCGGTACCGGGAACTGAACTCACGACCTTGCGCTTGCCAGGCAGGCGCTTTTGCCGCTGAGCTAAATCCCCAGCCCCTTTGTTTTGGTTTTTGATACTGGGAATTGAACTCAGGACCTTACACTTGCCAGGCAGGCACTTGTACCACTGAGCTATATCCCCAGCCCAGTTGTTTTTTTCTGTCTTTTTGAGACAGTGTCTCTCTATGCAGTTCAGGCTGGCCTTGAGCTCACTGTAGCCCAGGCTGGTCTTGAACTCGCAGTGATCCTCCTGCCTCAGCCTTCCAAGTGCTGGGATTACAGGTGTGTGCCCCCATGCCCGGCTTATCCCTATTGGAGTCCCTTATTTTTTTAAAAATACTCAAGTCCTTTGCCAAGTAATTTGTAGAATAGAGTGGAGTTGAAATTTTCTACATTCCTCTTGGGGTATTTCAGTTGGAATGGATAGGAAGGTTGACAACACCCAGTTCTTTGGTTTCACCTCTCTATAGGTCTGGAGTCCTTTGCATCTGCACGAGGCACCTCTTCAGGTAGCCAGTCATTGCCAAGAGCAGAAGTTAGTACAGGTTTAATTTGAAAGCTTGGTTATTGAGAAGTGGACCTTAGGTACACATTTTCTTCTATAGAACTATCCAGGACTTTAATCTTTAGAGTACTTTGTCTTTTCTCACTTAGTACTGAACCTAAATTGACACATCTATGCACTGGATCTTGTGTTTATATATTTTCCCCATGGCCTTGACCTGCCAAATTGGGGTTAGTAGGGACTGGGGATTTAGCTCAGTGGCAAAGTGCCTGCCTGGCAAGCGCAAGGTCGAGAGTTCAATTCCTGGTACCGGAAGAAAAACAAAAAACCCAAGTAAATTGGGGTTAGTAGATGGGAGTATCTTATTTCTCTCGTAGAGACTAGAGAAAGTTCTAGTCTTCCTGGGGAAGGGAAATCTTAATTTGACTTCAAGTGGGCCCAAGGCTTTGATTTTGAAGCCAAGGTTCAGTTTATCCCCATATCTCTAGCAGGAGGTTTTTCCCTCTATTAACAGATTTGGCTGGGCTTTCTGGTATTGTGGCATCTCAAGGCAGAATTAACAGCTTGGTCACATCCCAGACCTTCCAATTATATTACTAAGGAATTTGTTTTTCATAGCCCTGATAGTGGTACCACCTCCTGTCCCTGTAGCTAGATGGCTAATTCTTTAGGCTTCAAAAGAATTAGGTGGACTGAGTGCAGTTCAGTGGTACAGCACATGCCTACCATGTACAAGGCCCTGGGTTCCATCTCAGCACGTGGGAAAGGCATTTGGTGGCAATGACATAAACATTTTACCTCATTTCCTCCCTCCAGTACCACCCTCCTTTTTTTGTGTAAGGTGCAGTTGTGCCTAAGAGCTAAGATAGTTTGAGATATGTGCTCATCCTGATAAATGGAACATGTAATCTTCTTTCAATGGAAAGTATTCTTACATGTAATTTAAAGCTATAAAAGATGTTTCACCAGCTGAGCATGATGGTGCACACCTCTAATTCCAGCACTCAGGGAGGTTGAGGCAGGAGGGTTGGTGTGAGTTTGAGACTATCCTGGGCTACATAAGCAAGTTTAAGGCCAGCCTGCACTACATAGAATTTTTGGGGTTTTTTGTTTGTTTTTGTCTTTTTGAGGCAACATCTCGCTACGCAGTTAAGCCTGCCTTGAGCTGACTTTGTAGCCCAGGCTGGTCTCAAACTTGCAACGATCCTCAATCCTCCTGCCTCAGCCTCCCGAGTGCTGGGATTACAGATGTGCGCCACCATACCCAGCGGCACTACATAGAGACCCTGTCTTAAAAAAAGCCCAAGGCACTGGGCATATAGCTCAGTGGCACAAGTGCCTGCCTGGCAAGTGCAAGGTCCTCAATTCGACTCCCAGTACAAAAAAAAAAAAAAAAAAAAGCCTGAGGCAAGTTGGGGCATCTGTTCTAAAAATGCAGTAAAGCCAACAATATTCTAAATTTTGCCTTACAGGTCTAGGATACCCTTAGGGTTCCCCTTTCCCTATATTTTTGTGGAAATCTTTCAGTGTTACTTTCTTCACGCTTCTTTTCATTTAACTTTGGTAGAGAAAAGTTAGAAGATGCTTTTTCTTCTTCACTCTATTTAAAGGTCTTGCTGACCACAAATATCAGAGGCAAGGAAAAGGAAGCGATGCTACCAAAATGGAACTAATGTGACTAATCTGGCCAGTGAGACATAGCATAAATAACTTAAGGTTTTGGGTTGAGAGAGAATATGAGACTTCTCTGAGAATCATTTTGCATCTTTGAAGGGGAGGATAAGAATACTACTTCACAAAGTTCAGTTCTAGGAATTAGTGAAAGCATAGTATACAGCACATAGTAGGTGTTCAGTTGTATTCTGGTAAGCAGCGGTGGCATGTGGTAGGGTGGGCAACAAAAGTTTCAGAGATGTTTGCCAGGCAGAGATGAGCTAAAATTTCTGAAGCTGAGCCAGGTGTTGTGGCCCACACGTGTAATTCCAGGACTGAGTAGGCTGAAGCAGGAGAATAGCCATGAGTTTGAGGCCAGCCTGAACTACACAGACCCTGTCTCAAAAAAAAAAAAAAAAAAAAAAAAAAAAATCTGAGGCTGAGATGGTAGAAGTAGTAGAACTAATTCTTAGTGAATTGGCCTTAGCTGCCTTGTGCTTGCTTGCTACAAGGGATGGGATGAATAATTTGACATTCCTTTCTCCCACTGCAACACAAGTTACGTAGGTGGTGATGTGGCTGATCTGTCGGCTTCACCTCAGCATGCAGCTCAGTGCATTGCACACAGTGAGCATCAGCAAGTGTCTAAAGGGTGAGTGTAGGGAGCTGCCATCTCAGGCTGGCCTACCTACTCCACCATCTATGCTCCTAATGAGGATAAGATAGAACGATGAAGTAGATTGTGCCCGTGTCCTTCGGAACTGCAGTACAGTTATTACTTAATTTACTGAGCAGCTACCAGTCTGTTGCCCGAAATACAACATTCCCCTTTTAGTGCAGGGCCACAAGCAAAGCCCTGCCTGCCACTGTCACCTTTTCTCAAGTTATTTAAAAATTCTTACTGTTTTCCCCTGATCACACACACAAACACAGGTGATCTTCTCCACAGTCTTGTCTTTCTCTTTGTATTTCAGGATGTCTAACATACCAGAAGATGGAGCCAAGATCCTATGACTCAGATCAACTACCCTCCACAACCTGTGGCCTCTCTGGAAACCTAAATTAAACAGCTTTCTCTGACAGCTCTTCCTCCACAACCCTGATTCCATCACCAATGAAACTTGAGAACCAACTCTAACCATCCCTACCCCCAGGTGAGGGGACTAATTGGGAATTACTGAGATCCTCAGTTGCCCACAGTTCATTTCCCTTCATACTTTATACAAATCTAGCAGTGTTGTATTTTTGCTGTGTAAAATCAATCATTATCCCTGTATCCTGGATGTAACAGGGAGAGGAAAGAAAAGAGAAAAAACAGCTGAGATGGAAATGAAAGGTAAAAGGCTTATGTGGGGAGCAGAGAGCTAGAGTGATACATATTTTAGTAGTAGAAAAAGCAAGGTGTGGTGGATGCATGCAAGTCCTGCATTTATAAGCCAGCATCAGCCTTCACTCTGTTTTGTGTTTTGTTTGAGACAGGGTCTTGTTATGTAGTTCAGGCTGGCCTTGAACTTACTGTATAGTCCAGGCTGGCCTCAAACTCATGGTGATCCAACTGCCTCAGCCTCTTTTTTTCTTTTTCTTTTTTTTTTTTTGGTACATACCTCAGCCTCTTGAGTGCTAAGATTACAAGCCTGTGCCATCATCCCTAGCAGCACTTATTTTTTGACCTTATATCTCTTAGAATTTCTCACCTTAAATTCCACATCTATAAGATTAATTTCTAAAGTCCTTTAAGGACCATCAATATGGGTGAACTCCAAAAAGTGACCTCTGCAGACTCGTCGCTTCAACTTCATTATTTTTCTTGTGACGGTCTTTCTATGCAGTGCAGGCCTTTCTTGAACTCACTATGTAGCCCAGGTTGGCCTGGAAGTCGAGATCTTCCTGCATCAGCCTCCCACGTGCTGGGACTATAGGCATGGGCCACCACACCCAGCTGTCACTTCAATTTTAAAACTGTTACCCAGTTATAATGGGCCTGTTGCTGTTGTCATTATCATATACCAAGCATTATGCTAGGCGATTTATATAAAGTTTACCTCAACTAATGGGAGTGATACTTCTATTCTCGATTTGTAGGTGAAAACTTAAGAGAAATTAATTTACAAACATTAGTTAATGGCAGATCCAGGAGTTACACTAGGTCTGCCTGCTTCCAAAGACATGTCCTTAACAGTTTCCTGTTTGTTTTTGTTTTTTGGTACTGGGAATCGACTTACCTGCTCTTTTTTTTTTTTTTTTTTTTTTTGATACAGGGTCTCGCTATGCAGTTCAGGCTGGCCTTGAGCTCACTTTGTAGCCCAGGCTGGTCTGGAACTCGCAACAATCCTCCTGCCTCAGCCTCCTGATTGCTGGGATTACAGGCGTGCTCTACCACGCCCGGCGATTTACCTGCTTTAAAGATAAGGTATAAAAATTTATGGCTAAAGGGATATAACTGAATACCATTTCCGGTGTGGTTTTCTCCCACTTTTTTTTTTTTTTTTTTTTTTTTTTTTTTTTTTTGTTTTTTTTTTTTTGCTCGTAATAGAAGTTCTGGCTATGCAATTCAAACTGGCCTTGAGCTCACTTTGTAGCCCAGGCTGGTCTCGAACTCATAAAGATCCTCCTGCCTCAGCCTCCCCAGTGCTGGGATTATAGGCATGCGCCACCACGCCCAGATCTCCCACTTTTTTTTTCTCTTTTTGGAACTGAGACTCAAACTCACGATCTTGCGCTTGCCCGGCAGGCGCTGTGCCGCTGAGCTATCTCCCCTGCCCTTTTCCTCCCACTCTTGTTCTCAAGGTTTGTGCCTCTGACTTCATGGCTGCCGGACACTTTGTGCTACTCTGATCTTTTAGCTGAAATGCTGTGGGTTTCCGTATCGCAGATGTGTGTAACAGTTTCCATCTTCCGGTCGCCGGAACCACTGTAGCCGCTGCTCCTGCTGTGGTGGGGTGTACCTCTTTGGAGTTCTTGGAGGTGGTGCCAGATCAGAGTGGCAAGTGTGGTAACCAATAGGCAGGGAAGTTGCTGGGGTAGAAGCCAATGAGGAATCTGGTGAAGCGAGGCGGCAGTAATCTGAGGATGTAGGCTCTGATTCGAAGCAATATGCGGCTGTATCAGAGCTGGCGACCGCTGCGGCTCCCGTTCCGGCTCTCCGGGTTGCAAGCCCACAAGCTACATACTTTGCATGAGGTACCCAAAGGTTCCCAAAAGTCAGACCCAGCTCAAGGTGCAGACTCTTAATCCAGCCACTCGCCATTACTCCCTTCCCCTGCACTCCGAAGTCCCCAGACAAGGGTATCCCAGTCCTCAGTTGGCCATCTGCTTCGATCAGAGGTCGGGAGCCAGGAGGGAGCTCCTTAGGGAGAGTAGTGTCCGTTAGGACCCCCAGTCTAAAACCTGTATCACCCATCCCCCATTAAGAACCAGAAATTAGGGTCAAGGCCTCTTGAATACCCACAATTCCTACCATCCTCAGCCGGGAAAAGAAATTACGAGACCTGTGTTATGCCTAACATATCTCTCCCCTCAGGCGTCCGTGCCGACCCCTCCCCGTTGGTTGGTAGAGCGGCTTGGCCTTTTTGAGGAGCTATGGGCTGCTCAGGCAACGAGGCTAGCAAGCACTGCACGGAAGGAAGCCCGGACTATTACGGTGTCCCTTCCTGGAGGCCAGAAAGTGGACGCTGTGGCGTGGAACACAACCCCGTACCAGCTGGCCCGGCAGATGAGGTATCCGGCCCTGCCCTCACTTCTCTGCATCTGGCCCTGGCCCTTATTTCATCCCCAGCAAGATAGCCTTCCCTGAGAATGTGTTTTATCTCCATTAGTTTCACAATCTTTCTTGTAGTATCCACTGAACAAAGAAATAGGTTTTACTGTTCTGGAAGCTCATTTCCCCTTTACAGATTCAGAGTTAGTGGGGATTAGCTTCTCTCTTTTCCCGTGGATTATAACCCTGTCATTTTCTTCCTCCCCAACCCCTACTGCTGAAGTTTAACACTGGCAGATACTGCCCTGGCTGCTGAAGTGAATGGAGAACCCTATGACCTGGAGCGGCCCTTGGAGACAGATTCTGACCTCAGATTTTTGACTTTTGATTCCGCAGAGGGAAAAGCGGTAAGTTCTTTCCGTAGAGAGTACCGTGGCTATAAACTAAGAGATACTTAAGATACGAAATTTTAACACTTCTTTTGCATCAGTTTCTGCCTTCGCAGTTGGGACTGAGACCTACCATCTATTTCTGATGGAGCTGGAAACTTAGAAGTTTTTACTTAGCCTTGATCTTAAAAGCATAGATCATTTGCGCTAGTGAAAGGAAGTGATAGTAAGTTGAAAAAACAAGTGTAATGTGCCAGTTCAACTTTTTCAGCTCTTGTGCACATACATTGTAAGTCATCTGTGGTATAGATTCAACTGGAACATGGCTGGCACAACTGAGCACACAGCCTGGTCACTTTTCCTCTTCATGTCAGCTCTGATAACAGATTTTGACTGTTAGGGTCCAGAAAAGTGGATCTGAGTATGGACAGTGACCACCTCTGGAAGGGTAGTTGCATCGCATGTGATTTCTGAGCCTAAAATCAGTAGGACTAAAAGACCAGACAGAGGGGTGGGGGAAATACCTCAGGGAGAAAGCACCTGGTTAGGATGTCCTGGGTTCATTCCCCAGGACCATCAAAAGAACAAAAACAAAACAAAAAAGATAGTCCACCTGGAAGCCCTAATCAGTTATAGGATATTTTGTTAATAGTATCCCTTAGTTATTGTGGGCCTGCAATCTCCCAAATGAGTGGACGGCGAAGGCTTAAATAGATGAGACAGTTCAAATGATTTCAGGGCTCCAGGAGGGTTTAACCCTATTATAGACTTCGAGGTTCTCTGGGTTGACCAAGATTTCCCTGAGTGGCCCCGTATTTATTAGGTTTTCAGACAAACGAGGGAGATACTGAAGAAAATGGAGGAATCTGGGTAGGACTTGGAAAACCCATTAGGGAATTCTCCATATAATACTTACGTTAATTTAGGAGAACTATGTTATCTCCAGGAAGGCCTTCATTGCTGGAGTTTTGTTTTGTTTTTGTTTTTTTTGAGAGAGGGTCTCACTATGCAGTTCAGGCTGGCCTTGAACTCACTTTGTAGCCCAGGCTGGTCTTGACCTCGCGGTGATCCTCCTGCCATAGCATCCCGAGTGCTGGGTTTACAGGCTGCGCCACCACGCCCTACTTCACTGCAGGAGTGAGATCCCTGCAGTTATAGTCTCCTTTTAGGTAATGGGGGTTGGAGCCAGAGGTCCTCAGCTGTGACCTTATCTTATCCTTTGAGGCTTCCTGGCTTCACCCACCATTACAGCCCTCAGTAAGAACCAGTGACTCACAAGTAAACATGGAAAGCCAATTGGTTAATTTAAGTCCTGCTCAGAGCTGCTTCATAGTGGTGTCCGTCGAAGCAAAAGAAGACTATTTGGCCTTCTGCTTTGGTCCTCTGGGACTGGGAAGCACCAAAGACTGAAGAGGGCGGCTGTAGCTTCTGTTCAGTGAAAACAAGAAAGGGTACTGGCCTCTGCTTCTTTTTT